TAAGCCGACTTGGAGAAGTAGAAGGATGGAAAGAAACGGAGGGAGGGCGGGCTGAGTGGGAGTGATGCATGCTGGGCAGGAAGCCAGGGGTAAGATTAGTGACCGTCACTATGGCGACACACAACTCCCTCTCACACACTTGAACCATTGTTACCTGAATGTGCTGTAGGATCAAATCAAAAGATTATATGAACATATACGAGAGTAAAATGGGTCTTTGGTTTTTGAGTCTTCTACGTTGGTCCTGTTATTTTAAAGCAATATGCCTTCGGCATACTAAGCACGTATAAATGTTGGGTAAATCAAGTTGAGCTTTCATTTTGGCTACTTTAAGTACAGGCTGCATGCTTACATTTGCAAACTGACAGTAAAGGTGCCGTAACTACATCAGTGGCTAATCTTCAGTGACGGACAAATCACTGTCACAATGTTTCAAATCAGTTTTTGAACTACAGGGCATGTTAGTGCTAATAATACAAGACAAACTAAAAAAAGAAAGGGTCACATGTTTTAAAGCCCAGAATCCTAAAGGGAAGCCAGCACAAGCACTCGGTCTCAGACACTTACATTGCATTAGATGTGCCTGAAAATGGTGAAATGGTACTTTATGTATAACATCATTCTTAACATTTAAGCAAATGTAAACATTTATTTGCTAAAACAGCCATGTAGTATACCAGAACAGTTCCCCACTGCTTAATATATTAAATACAGTGTTTTTCTGCATCTGCTTACATTTTGCAGCAATCAAGCCAGCATAGTTTTTATTGATTCTGGTCCACAATACTCTGGAGCAACTCAAATATTCAAGCACGATGAAGTAGTGTTTTGCAGTCTATCCATAGTGAGTGCAGCAATACGTACTTTAAAAGGGCAACTGGAGTGTGAACTGAAAGTGAAATTTAAAAAAGAAAAAAAAAGCAATTTAAGAGCCAGGGTTAGTCTGTCACAAATGCAAAGGCTTTGTTGGTCTTTCCTCAGTGGGCATTACAAGCTAAATATAAAGTCTGACCTACCTTTTTCTTTCTCTTGGTCAGGATGGCCATCACACTCTGAAGGTCTTTTTGTATACACTTTGTGTATGTAGAGGCTTCAGGGTGAGAGTGAGGGAGGGAGAGCAAGAGGCAGAAAGAAAAGCATTTATTATGTTTGAAATGAAGGCTCATGTCCAAAAGGCATGATTCTCAAAATTATGATAAATGTACAGATTAAAAACAAGTTGCTGATTTCGTTTCTGGTCTTTTATCAAAATATTTTTCATGTTATACTCTCCTCACTGCATAGAAGTGAGAGACTGCATAAATCTGAATAATGGACTTTAGCAGAAAAGCACATTGTGTTCCATGTAACACTTTCATTTCCATTAAAGTTTTTATATTTAATATGTGCATGTTCAGTTAAGACGAAAGGCCCTCCGTTTGAAAGGCTAACGACT